ATAATATGACCTCACCCACCTTATTTCTCTAATATCCTGGGGCCAACACAGATACAGCAACACTGGAAACCTATCCAATGTCTGGCATTTTTCATATTGTACAAGTCAATGATGTAAACATCCTTCCCCCTGCCCCCCCCCACACCCTATCCCTGATGTTTGTCCAACAAAGCACAGTGGTGTGCATGAACAACATAATCAATAGAGAAGGGACTTTTACTTTCCCTCTGTCATTGCTCATGAGACACACACCCTTGTAATCCTCTGTGATGTATTGAGGAGTTTATGGAGTTAACAAAAGTCTATGTATAGAATCAGAACCTGGGGCAAAGCATGGAGATAAGCACCATCAGTATAAGGCCAGCAGGTGCAAGCTGATCTGGAAGCATGGAGATCAACCCAATGGGAAAAGATGAGGAGAAAAATCAGAAAAGGATCAGGACATGGAGGTGTGACGCCTTGGTATGTTAGGGTTAACGAGGACACTGCAGGCTCAGGAAGTGGAGTGGGTCATAGGGTGTTGGGGATGGTGCAAGGTCAGAATCGAGCAAGGTGTGGGGATAGTTAGGGAAAGCTGTGCACAAGTGAAGAGGGATGAAAGGGAAGGTCTAGCAATTTTTGATTGTAAACATGGGAGGCAGGGGAAATGAGTGTTAAGAGCAGTCAGAGGTCTGCACTATCTTTCAGCCGAGGAAGTTAGTAGAGGATGCAGTGTAAAGGCTGCACAGGGTAGTGATGTGGAGTAAGAAGGGGCCAGATTATACTCATTCAATGCTGCTAGTAAAATTCACCCCTTCTGAAATCTTTATCTCAGCTCTACACACCTTTGGACAAAATCAGCTCCATGTTTCAGGTGGTGGGGCCCTACAAGGCTGCATGCTGTAGAGCTGGGAACTCAGCCAAGTTCATATTGGAACAGAAATTGCACAAGACTGCTGATTATTGCTCTGAACATAGAGCTATTGACAGCTATCTCTTATGTATCTATTTACTAGAGTCCTGTGTCCTGGCCACCTGAGAAATGCAGACAGTTCCTTGGGGTTTTCATTCATATTTCTGAAGAATACAGTGAGATTGGACAAGGAGACCTTTTGAGGGCTGAGGGATGAACCAGGCAGACAGGGAAGGAGAGGATCTCCAGCCCACGTCATGAGTGGCATGCGGTGGCCACAGATTCTTAACACCTCCTGCCTTCATATAATTAAAGCCTCTTCTAAAAATCTCAGAAGCTAGAGATGCAAAGCAGACTTGTCCCTCGCTGTGCTCTCTCCAGACTAATTTGTGAGGGGTTCCCAGCGCTTCCACTAGAAAATTACTCACAATTGAATAGACTTCTCCTGAAATTAAGCCTAAATGTTTCTTTGCTTGGTGTAATCCCTCGGTTCTCCATCCCCTCTTGTACCACTCTGCATAATCCTTTTCAATCTGTACCATTCATATACCTGTAAGCAGTTATATGATATTCAAAAACGATCTTCAAAGGATTATAAAAATTGGACTCATGCCCTTTTTTGTTGGTTTATGGGGCTCAAAGAAAGCAAGGCCGTTTTTCCCCCCCTAACACCAGGTCTCAACTATAAACTGACATCGGTATAACATCCACCCCCCTGAGCAACGTAATTATACTGACCTAACCCCCTGTGCAGACAGCGCTGTGTCAAGGGAGCTATGTTCTCCCATCAACATAACTACTGCCTCTCACGGAGGTGGAGTACCTATGTTCTCCCCTTGGCGTAGGGAAGTGCTACAGCGATGTCATTTCAGAACTGTTCTGGAGGGGACAAAGGTGTGTCCGCGTACAAAACAAGACAAGTGATTATATCTTTGAGAAGTTGGGAGGGGGCATAGAGCATATAGACCCAGGAAAAGTAGTGGGGGCAAACCAAGGTCGGGGGGGGCAACTGCCCCTCTTGCCTCATAGCAAATGAAGCCCATTCTCTCAACACAAACATCCAGTCATCATGTCATACACCCGCCTGTCCCTGTGATCCATCCCTCATTTTGTTCATATCCCCTCACCAATAACACCTCCCATCTCTAAGAACTCACCCATGGAGTTTCTTGTGGGGGGAGATTGGGCATTCCCACTCCTATCGCCTTTGAGGGTGACCACCTAGCCTGCCTGCCCCCCAACACCTTCATAGAGGGGCAGAGAAGGAATCCTGTTCCCCAGCCCATACCATCCTGCCTGCCATCCTCCCAACCCTTTCTCAGACACACTACAGGAGACTGGCTAGCTGGACAGGCAGCCCATACAGATCAGAGCTGGCTGGGAATTGTCCATCAGAATGATTTTCCAAATGAAAATGGTCTTTTCACAACATCAAAATTTTCTGGAGGAAAATTTCAATTTTGTTGAAAGAAAAAAAAAGGTTTTTCATCAAGAAAATTGGAATGGCCAAACCCTGGCTGCCCCACGGCAGGGAGAAAGTGAAATTGACAGGAGCCTTCCAGGCAGCTGGGGAGCCACAGCTGGGCTGGGTGGGAGGTTGAGAGGGAGGAAGGTGGAGAGCTCAGCATCTGGCAGTCCACTTGGAAGGCTATTGTCAATTTCCAGGCACAGTTCAGGGCAACTGCATCTGTATTTCCCTGAGTGGTTCAGCAAGGTACTCCTGAGGGAATTCTGCACCAAAAAATTAAAAATTCTGCACACAATATTTTAAAATTCTGCATATTTTATTTGTCAATAAATAAATGTGGAAGCTCCAGCGTAGCAGTGGGGAGCACAGGCCACTGGCTGCACACAGTTGGGAGATCACCGTACAGCCCACACACCCCCAGGCCATGGACTCAGCAGTGAGGCTGCACTCAACCCTGACACAGCACAAGGGCCCAGCCTATCACAGAAACACCCAGGGGCCCTGACCCTCTGCGCCAGGCACACCAGTATAGTGAGCAAGAGGCACAGAGTCTTGCATGCACGTGTAGGTACAGGTATGCTAGCTCAACCTAACAGGATCCAAGTGTTGAGGGGCTTAATGTGGGGGGATCCAGGAGTGGGGTGAGAGAATTCTGTGTGGGGCAATCTAGGTGTGGGTGGTGGTGGTGGGTCTGGGTGCTGGAGGATTCTGGCCTTGTTGGGGAGGTTCCAGGTGCAGGGGGAATGGGAGACTGCAGGGGGATCCAGGTGATGGTGGTCAGGGCTTAGCAGGAGGGGCTGGGTGCGGAGGGCACATCAGGGTGGTCCAGGTGCAGGGGGGTGGGGCTCATCAGGGTGGGGTTTTGAGTGTGGGAGCCCAGTAGGGGGTTGTTTGGGTGTAGGGGTTTGTCTGGATGCAGGGGGGAAAGGCTTAACGGGGGTCCAGATGAAGAGGGGGTAGGGCTTGGTGGGGGGGAGTTGGGTGCGGAGGGTGAGGCTCGGCAGGCTGTGTGTTTGGATGCAGGTGGCTCGGTGGGGATGTTCTGGGTGTGGGGGAGTGAGGCTCGGCAGAAGTGTTGGGTACGGGGGGTCCAGATGAATGGGGGTTTGGCATTGGGGAGCAGCTCCCTGTACAGTGATTCCTCCCCCCCATGGCTGAGGAGCGATAGGGGCAGGAAATGGGGGGACAGGAGTGCGGAGCTTCCTGAAGCCAGGGGAGGTTTCTGGGGGTGGATCTGACCCAGCCCCAGACGATCCTTCAGGGGAAGAGGAAGTCCCATCCTCCCCTGCCCCAGCCCAGCCAGGACTAGCAGCTGAGCCCAGCGAAGGGTTGGAGCAACCAGCCAGGGCATCCTCAGCCCTGGCCTCCCCCTCCCGCAGTGTTTTACCTCACCACCGGCTGCTCTGGGTGCCCAAGATGATGCACCAGCACTGCTTGAGAGGGGTGGGTGGCCACTTTTGCAGCTTCCTTTTGTTTCCCCATCAGAAGTCATTTTTCTGTAGGGATGCAAAGAAATCTGTAGGGGACATAAATTCTGCATGTGTGCAGTGGCACAGAATTCCCCCAGGAGTAACAAGGGCATTCACTGTCAGATTTCCAGATCGCCAGCTGTTGCCTTCTGACCAGTTTTTTTCCCAGGCTTCACAGTTTCTTGCATTTACTGTGTACGTCCCAGCACACACAGGCTGCCTCAGCAGACCTGCTTGCTTTCTCTTCAGAGACTGATAACAGATTTAATTGGTATAGATATAAGTCACCACACAGCTCTTTCTAAGCCAGCCTACTTTCTTCTTAAGGTAAAGAGCATTACAGAGAAAACATTAAAAACAATAAAATAACCTAATGCTAATAAGCTTACCGGAGATCGGAGACCTCTAACAGGGGCTGTCGCAGGAGCAGTCTTTCAATACCCTCATCACAGAGGCTACCTTGTGGCTACAAGTTTATCAGCACTTCAGCTCAGAACAAGCTGTCTTTTCTTTCCGGTCTGTCTTATGAGGCCTCAGTAGGCCAAGTTCCCCTGATCCTACACTAAGGATTGGGACCCTCTGTGGACCAGGTGTCCTGTCCATTTGCTGGATCAGGAAGAAGGCCCAGAGTCATTTTAAACTCTGTCTCTTTATTCAACAATCTTTTCTTTGTCTGTTGGTCTCTGGAGAACCCAGTTTGAACCAGTATATGCGTCTCTCTCTGGAGAAGGGCCAGCTTCCAAAGCTGATAATGGAGAAGGTTCATTAACAGCCACCTTCCCTACCAGAGAAGGTACATACAATGCCACAACAACACACCCACAATGTACCTGAAAGGTATTAACCCTAATTCAAAAAGGTTTAACTTAATTCAATTGAGTTTATGTGAATTCCATAAAGTTTGTTCAGGATATTGCAGGATATGGTCATTCTGTCACTTTGCCAGCAAGACAAAAAATCCATTTTCATTCTTCAAAAACAGATTATTTTTTCAATTTCTCTCCCACAAAAAATATTGTGAGATTCTATTCTTTGTCCTGAATTGGGATGAAATACTTCCAAAACCTTTCAATTTTCCACAGGACAGAAATTCTGTTTTCTGGCCAGCTCTAACAAAGAGAATCTAAACCAGCCCCTTAAATTCACCTTGCTCCCTGGTCCTAGAAGATCTGATCTGATCTGCCCTTGGTCTCATGGACCTGCTCTGCGTCAACAAACCAGTCTCCTCTCTGACAAATCACAGCAGCATCATGCATGTCAAACACACATGTGAACATAGAACACAGACAGACATGCAAAACGTAGCTGCAGAAATTCAATTACTGATTATACATTTTTTACAAGTTAAACAGAAAAAACAGATTTTCCCAAAGCAAAGTGCCAGGAAAAGGAATGGGAAATTCAGAGAAAAATAAGGTTTAAAATGCAGAACTAAGGAGAAAACGAAAGAAAAAAAAACGACAGGGAACATGAATAACGAAACCTCTTAGTGTCTCACTTTCTTCACTATTAGACACCTCCAGTAAATGCTCCTTTCCTTAAAACACGTTTTTGTTCAAAATGCCCCTGGAATTCTCCTTCCAAAATGTCATTGCACAAAGGAAATGCAGACTGTGCATTCAATTGCAACTTCACACAAGAACCTCACCTTCCAGTTTTCATTCCATCACATTAAAAATCACAAACCGCTAAAATAACCAAGTCATTCCTCAGTTCTCCTTCTAGACTCTGGCCCCACGCACTCGCTCCCGGGGCATGTGGTCCTTCTTCCCTGCAGACTGGTACTGTCCTTTGACTCCTTTCTCCTCTCTCCAACAAACATAAAGGAAACTGAAACTAAACCTAACAGGCACAAAGGGACTGACTTTTCTGTGTGCTGGGGGGAGGGGGAGGGCTTGGACAGCGTACTTAGATTCAGAAGGCGTCCTAGTGGCTTCCGGGTTTTGTTCAATTTTATATTTAAATGAAGTTTAAATACCTTAAACCTTAAGTTTAAATACCCTCTGGTCCTCCCCAAACTTATACCAGTTCAGTGCAGAGGACAAGGCTGAATTGTCTAGCTTATTCTCATGCTATTTTCAACTAATTTTCTATTCCAAATCCTTGCTTTTGGTCATTTCCCCACAGAGCCTAAAGTAACAGAGTTCTAAAACTATTCTCCCAGGTCCACACTGCTTTTTTAGCAGCATAATGTCCTCACTGCCTTCCCACAGCTAGAATGTGGCCTAGTCTCACACACACAAAAAGCAACAGAGTCCTGTGGCACCTTATGGACTAACAGACATATTGGAGCATAAGCTTTCGTGGGTGAATACCCACTTCGTCAGATGCAAAAAAAAATGGCACTGCCTTTCAAAACAAGCCCAACCCATTTCAGAGGGAGGGGGTGGGTGTGTTTATACAAATCCCATATTTTTCGTAATAATGTAAATACACACAAATGTATTTTTAACAGCATAGTGTCCACTGCCTCCCCGCCAGTGGAGCCTTTCCCCATTGCCTCCTTCCTGCTGGAGCCTGTCATTGCCGCATGTAGCTACACACTGCTGTGAGTGTAGACACAACCTGCTTTTCACTGTGGCAGGTAGCTACACATATTCTACATGTCGCTGCCAGTGTAGACAAGGTCTAGGAATGGAATTCACAGAAACCAGCAACCTGAATGGGGTGCAAGGAAGACCCCCACAAACACTGGTGGCCACGCCAAACAATAATCTCAGTCAGAAGAAGCTCCCTCCAACTGACAACATTGTCACAAAGACACATGTAAGAACCCCTGACGCCTCCTCCGGCTCCTGGGAGCCAGAAACCCGCAGCTCCCACCGCACAGCCCCAGGCCACACGTTGGTGGCAGCCGGGGACGGACTGAGGCCCCCGCGGCCCCAGCTCTGGCCAGGCCCAGGCACCACGCAGCCAGGGCTCCCTGCACTCCTGCCAGCGGGCTGCGGATAACGCGTGCACAGTATGCACCAGCCTGGCCGGCTTCAGCACCGGTGGCATCAGCCGTCCCTCCAAACTTCTCCTGGGTGGTGCCCGGCAAGCTGGCAGGACTGGCCATGCCACAGCAGCCCACACACTACCAGTACATGCATGAGCATGGCATTCGGCACCTGGTGTCGCTGACCAAGCGCAGCCCACCCTACCACAACACCTGCCCTGGCATCAAGCTCCATCGCCTCCGCATCCAGGACTTCTGTGCCCCATTGCTGGAGCAGATCAAGCACTTCCTGCAGATCGTGGAGGATGCCAGCACCAAGGGCGAGGCCGTGCTGGTGCACTGCATGATGGGATTTGGCAGGACAGGAACCATGCTGGCCTGTTACTTGGTGAAGGCCCAGAGACTCACTGGGGTCGACGCCATCCATGAGATCCAGAGAATCCGGCCCGGACCCATCGAGACGCATGACCAGGAGAAAGCCGTGATCCAGTTCCACCACCACATCAAATAGCCACAGCCGGTGGCGCCCCCCTCTCCCTGCGTGGGGGGGGGCAGAGGGAGAGGACTGCTCAGCTACACAGTAGGGTTACCATATTTAAAAAATAAAAAAAGAGGACACTCCACGGGGCCCTGCCCCTGCCCCTTTCCCACCCCCAGCCCCGCCCCAACGCCGCCCCTTCCCCACCCCAACTCCGCCCATTCCCCGCCCCTTCCCCAAAGTTCCCGCCCTAACTCCCCCTCCTCCCTCCCAGCCATGCGAAAAGGGCTGCCCCAGCGCTACTGGCTTCATGGTTTGCCGGGCAGCCCCCAGACCCTGCGCCCCCGGCCGGTGCTTCCCCAGCGCAGCTGGAGCCCGGGA